TCTTTCCCTTTTCACATATACCTCAGTCTTGGTAAAGGCAGTCCAGATCTGGCCAAGCAATACCCATTTCGAGTTTGGTGATATCACTGAGACCGATTTCACACAAGGGCTGTGCCGCGGTCGCGCCTCCCTTTGCCCCTGCCTACAGTTTTATCACAGGATCTTCCGATACAGGGGAATCACTATACCATTAATCCCCACTCATAACTGTTCAGTTTTTCTAACGAATTACCTCATAATCCAATGAATGTTTCAGGATTAGCTGTGTGCCGTTAATCTCAAAAAATTCAGGGTTCTCTGTTGCTTCGGCATCAATTGTGACTGTGACACCAGGGCCTTTCACAATGGTGGTAACCACATACCCAGGAAGGTTGTTCTCCTCTACATGAGGATTGTCATTATTGACGTAACATTCTAGTTAGGCAAAAAGGGGGGGGGAAATAACTTGAATCAGTGAAAGCAGAGCACAATAAGATTTGTCGAGATGAATTCAGTCAGGACTTTTCACTCTGACTAGTTCAGTATCTTGCCTATGACTGCCTTCAGTAGAAAATGTTGGCAGGTGTGAAACAATCTGCCTAATAATATTTTGACCTGAATATACATGTTAATGCTCGCGTCGCCATTTCAGTGCTAAAAACAGTTAATTTTTATCAACCTCTTTGAAGAATTGACAACCATTTAAATTGGGACACGTCAAAGGTCTCACAACGAGTTTAGTGATCCCTTATTCTGAGCAAGATAGAACACGAATATTTTTGTATAATTAATTTCAGATTATTCAAACACATTGTTAATTAATTATAAGCCACAATCAATTTCTTTTAGAATTGTCTGTGTTTGCCTACACTGTCGACGGGGACACTCATACTTTAGTTAGACTGTTTTAAAGAGTATATAAAGTCTGTCCCTGACAAAAAATTCTGTTTATAATGCACAGGGCACTTAATTTCTGAATAAAGCACAGAGACAATTTCTGGCTTTTGTTCTTATATCTTAACTTAAACAGCCATTCCTCTTCAATTTCTTTAAAAATGAAACCCATGTCAACCATTTTGGCCCATACTCTTAGAATCTGCTTACCTGTTGTCTGCGCCTGAACATGAATCACTGCTGCCATTAAGAAAAGCACGCAGGTCCAAGACTGTCTGAAAAGATCCATAAGGCAGATGGCAAACAAATCCAAGAGCTAGGGAAAGCAAATACGTTTCTTCTTTTCACTTCTTGTGACAATGCAGTCTCCCTTTCACTGCTCAATGAGGAAATAGCATCGCAAATGATGCCAAACCACCCATAGTTTAACCTTTGCATCCTAGTTTATTGATTTACTTATTTATGACTTATTTACTGGCACCAGTGGCTGAATGCAATATGCTATTCGTTATACCATAGATATCGACATTGGTATTGTCCCTGCTTTAAAGATCACCTGTGTGCAGATGGAACCAATGAGAACAGGTGTTGCTGAATACAGCTGAGTGACAATTTCTTGCAGATGGAACCCATGAGAACAGGTGTTGCTGAATACAGCTGAGTGACAATTTCTTCCATGAAACTTTCAAAACATTAAAATAATGGAAAACTTGAATAATCAGATGTGGGATTGTCATCTTGGGAAAGGACAGTTTAAGTCAGTATGCTCATAAAGCATTTTTAAAGCCTAGACTCAGGCTGGAATGAACCGGGCTCAAATTACAGGGAGCCCACCCACTATCCTTTGTGATGGACCACCTTAGCTGCTGTTTGAAAGGGTTTCTGGGAATATATTATTTGCTACCGCCGCCACCCCCCCCCCCACTTAAACACCTGCCACAGCATTCCTTCTCAGATCTTTCTACTTCATCACACCATGGCTGTGTGCCTGGCTCAGGAGGGTTTTGTGGTCTCATAAGAACATAAGAGAAGCCAATGTTGGATCGGGACAATGGCCCATCCAGTTCAACACTCTGTCACACAGTGGCCAAAAATACCATCGAGATGTCCAGCAGTGGGGCCAGGACACTAGAAGCCGTCCCACTGTTGACCCCCCCCAAGCATCAAGAACACAGAGCATCACTTGCCCCAGACTGAGAGTTACCTTGTGGCTAATAGCCACTGATGGACTTCTGCTCCATATGCTTATCTAATTCCCTCTTGAAGCCGCCCATCTCCATCTCTGCATGGTTTTGTTTCCTTTTTTCAGACTGTGATGACCCCTTATATGGGGCGGACTGGTTTCCCTTTAAAAGTGTTCTTTATTTTGTTCTACTAGGGTATATCCGGCTGCCACCAGGAAATTTAAGGCTTTCCAAACCTTTATACTTTACTTTTGTTATTACTGGGTAGGTAGGTTGAGTTTAAGGCTCATGAGGATCTATGTGGTCCTAAAGAAGTATTTATTTCAGAGTTGGCATACTTGAATAAAGAAGATTTATTGAAATATTTCATAAATAAAAGGGTAGAACAATGTAACCAGTAATGTGTATATTTTCAACAATTGCTTGGTGTCTCACACAAGATCTGCTCCCTTACTGACAGGGATCTTTAAGGTAACTTTATAACACTTTAACTCAAGGTCTTATAAGTTCACTGTTTCTCTCCAAGTTATCAGGACATACAGCCTTTCCTATAATTTGTCTTCAATTTAAACTTTCATTTACTTTTTCTTATTCTCTCTAACTTCCTTCATACACAGAACTTAACTCTTATATCACACACAAGACTGCTTCTCTCACAGACTTCAGAATGAACTGTCTAACTGAACATCAACTGTCAAACCTAACTGAAACTCTAGACTGACACACATACTCATCCACTCAGCACCACTTCCAAAACCCCTCCCCCTCTCTGTCAATCACCAATCCTATCATGCTCACTTCTCTTAACCACTCTAGTTTACTTACCACCATGCAACCAAACTTTTAAAGAGACACACATAAAACAAGGAATCATTACACAGACCCATTGATATTATGACCCTGATAGAATCTCTGTTTAGCCCACTGAATGTCCACCTAGTTTTCTCTCCCGGCACTGTTAGTTGAGCAAAACAGTCCCTCTTCTCTCTTGTCACACCCCAAGAGTCTGTGCTGCCTAACAGTATACTATGTAGACTGGCTGCAGGAATCTTTAGCTGCTCTAAAACTTCTCTTCTGCGTGGGCCTGTTCTGTATCCCATAGAACAATGGCTGCAGACGAAGCAGTGCACCTTTAAAAAAACATTTTATTATTATTATTTTTCAAACACAACAAACAAACAAACATAAAATTGGGATAGTACATATCTCTCTCCATTTTTAAAGTCTCATACATTGTACAATGTATAAAAAATTCACCTTATGTTAAAATCTCCGTGGGCAACCCATGGGGCTTGAGAACCCTCCTCAATTTTTAAAATAAAACTCCATATAACAGAATTGTGGTCTCAGACAGTGGCTCTTTTTTATCCTTTTGCCCACAGCTTAAAGGGAATTGCTTGAGGTTCTTTTCATAAGAACATAAGAGAAGCCAATGTTGGATCAGGCCAATGGCCCATCCAGTCCAACACTCTGTCACATAGTGGCCAAAAATACCAGGTACCATCAGGAGGTCCACCAGTGGGGCCAGGACACTAGGATTCCTCCCACAGTTGACCCTCCCAAACACCTGCCCCAGAGTCCCTATCCATACCTTGTGGCTAATAGCCACCAATGGACCTCTGCTCCATATGCTTATCTAATTCCCTCTTGAAGCTGTTATAAGTGAATTGAATCAATACAAACCTCTATATGATCTACTATGGAGCATCTTAGATTATACAGTGTTTTCATTTCTCCATCTTATACTAGTGACTACATTTTTACATATACGTGTCTACATTCCATATTTTCTTCTGTTTAAACTTTTACCTTAAACAAATTTTGTCTTATTTTTCAGTTATATATAATAAAACAAACAATCCTTATTTTCTTCTTTTATGGGTTATAGTTGGAAACTCTGCAGTCTAGTTTAGGAGATCCTATTTCACAATACAATCTCCAAGAATCTTACCACAATTTTAAATATATATTCTTTATTCCCTTCAATTTAAACTTTTGCCTAGGAGGTTTGCTACATTTTTCAGTTTCATATAAGAGACTAAATGGATCTTTATATTCTCCTTTTTGTGTGGATTATGTTTAACTATTTTCACATCTGCTGTTAGTAATCTTATTCCACAGTATAATCTCAGAAAATATCACAACACATTTTAATTTTTTTTAACTTTTTGTAATATTTCATCATCTTTTCCATTTTCTGATTTCTTCTCTTGTTTTTTATCTTTATTCTATGTCTTTTTTCCTTGTAAATAGTGAAGTTTTCTTCATGAAGTGGCCATTTATATTCCATTGTCAGTAGAATTTGGAATTCTGTAGATTCTTTTCTTTCCTCTTGTAGTGGTGGTGCATCATTCAAAATGTTAAGGGTTTCTTCGCCTGTCAATTTTCTAGACATTTCCCGGGATCTTTTATTTCTCTTTGCTGGAGGTAAATTCACTCTGTTGATATCCACTTGCATGTAGACTTGCTCGCTATGTTCTATATCTCTGAAATTTTGTTCCTCTTCCTTCTCTGGTTTCCAGGCTTTTTCCATGTCATTTGAAGCCTGCTTTGGCAATATATCCAGTTCAGCTTGCATAGCATCAACAATCTCTCTTACTGCCAGTCTCACAGCTGAGATCATTCAGTTTTGGATTGGAAATCTTTTAAAGAAATCTGTGTCCAGTCAATATCTAAAGGTTCCACTCTTGTTGAGAATGTATCTCCAGTAGGGTTCCCAAGTACTTACCGTGATCCGACGGGGGAAACGTGCTCCTCGGCCGGACCATTCCTCCCTGTAACACACCATGCCGTCACCAGGAAGTGATGCTGGGCGATGCTCTGGCAATGGGACTGAAAACTCGATGGTACCATCGCGTTTCCAGCCCCATTGCCAGAGCGTAGCCCGGCGTCACTTCCTAGCGACGGCATGGTGCAGCGCGTCTGTTGTCCCCGCGGGAATGATCCTGCGAAGACATCTGTGTCCCCCGCCAAATCACGGGCTGAATCACGGTAAGTACTTGGGCAGCCTGATCTCCAGACATCTTGTTTGAACCACCAGACATCCCACAGCAATATATTAAAAACAAAGAGTCTCAAATTTTCTTCGCTCAGTAATAGTTTAATGTCACACCAGATCCCATTCTCCACCAGCACTAGTCACTGTCGCTATATCTGAAAAAAAAAAAGATTCACGCCATAACTTGGGAGCAGTGTTCCCTCTAAGTTGAGTTAGTGTAAGCGAGCTCACCGTTTTTTAGCCTCCGGCTCACATATTTTTGTCTTAGCTCAGGAAGAGATGGCTCCAGAGCAAACTAATTTATGCAGTAGCCAAATCATTCACTCACAACTTTAATACCGGTACCTTTCAAAGTAGAATGTTTGCTCACAGGGCTCCCCAACTTAGAGGGAGCATTGCTTGGGAGTCTTATCAGGTGTTTCCTCTTGTGGCTTTTTGCCACAAGGACCAGGTCCTTTTCGGTGGTGGCTCCTATCTGATGGAATGAGCTCCCGGAGGAGATCAGGGCCCTGTGGGACCTGTTACAGTTCCACAGGGCCTGCAAGACGGAGCTCTTCTGCCAGGCTTTCGAATAGGAGCCGCCGCTGCCACCACCACCAACGGGTGACTGTAGAACAGCACCGCTGGGTTGGACTGTCTGGCCACCCGAACATCGTAGCCTACAGCATCCTCCTTTTTGACCACAATGAGATGTGCAATAGGGAGCGAGTATGTTAGTCGCGATGGATCCGTGGGAGCTGCCCACTGTATTTAAATTGTTTTTAACTGTATTTTATAGCACTGTGTGCCTTAATTGTTTTTAACTGTGGTATTGTATTCCACCTTGTGTTTGTAAGCCGCCCTGAGCCCGCGTGCGGGGAGGGTGGGGTATAAATGGAATAAAATAAATAAATAAAAAATAAATTTCCAACAGAATAAAGTACAGTCAGAACAGCATGTACCTTTATAGTAAAAACACACTATGTTAAGAGAATGTAGCACAGAACCACTTCAAAGCAGAATCCAGGTCTTCTTTTCCTCCTTTTCCATAAGATGTCTCTTTCTAGTTCAATAAAGTTCACAGAGAAACATTATAGAATTTTTTTAAAAAAGACTCCATATAACAGA